GAATTGAAGAGCAAGAAAAGTCAAAAGGAAGAGAAAAATAAAAACAATTTTCAAATACTGTATTAATCAAGTTTTACGGCACAGGTATGGGTTTGCCTTGAGTCTAGTGCTGCGTTGAATGCAAAACATGTTTTATGGTTAGCAACAAAAATAGAAATTAAAATCGTTTTGATGGCAGAGAACAAAAGAAATAAACAGAATTCAAGCCCTCATCCCATCCCAAACCCTGAGCCCATGCACTCCATCCCCTCACCACTACTTGTTAGAGGTTGTGCTGTAATCCATGATTCCTTATACACCCTATTCCCTACTCCCTGACCACCTGGTGAATGACCTTTGAGTTGAGAGCATAGGTGTTGTCTCATTGTACGCAAAAATGACATAATTTATATGATATGCCATCAAAAGTTAATGCAAAACAATTGTGAACTCCTATTGGAGTGCAATCCTCGCAAATCTGCAAAACTCTCTTTTAAGGCATGCATTCATTTGAATGCAATATTTATAATCATTTGAAAGATTATTAATCTTTTTAACATATTATTCAAACATCTTATAATCGTTTGAAAGAGTTATAACTTATGGCTTAAGTTGATGTCATTTATCTTTTGAAAAGAAAACTTCTTGAAATTCATGAACTCCTGGTATGGGATGGGATGGAATAGCATGAGGTCTTAAATATGAAAAAATCAAACAAATGAACATTTTTTGTATTCACTTTCATTTCTAATACGAGAGTACAGTATATTGTATTGTAGTCTAGTTTGCTGTATATGGTAAGATAGAGGAGAGTATGTACTACTATGTAGTATGGATAGCATGGATAGTTGGATAGCATGGATAACATGGATAGCATGGATAGCATGGATAGCATGGATAGCATGGATAGAGGTATAGAATAATGTAATTCGTTTGGAATATGAGGTTCACTTGCCTTCTCATATCTGATCTCATATTTGCATCCATTTATTGAGTTCAATGACCGCAATGATGGGCGGGTGTGAGTGTCGGCCTAAGACATGATCGCATGGAACCAGAAATGCCTGATATAGTGGGCAAAAGCGATGCAATCTTTGACCTTCAGGTGTACTCTCAGTGTATGTATTTCGTCGGCAATTGAACGTTTCGATGCCATATATACGGCATATACTGATGTATATACAGGTAGACATCGCTTATGATACCTGTTACTGGTTAGGCATTCATATGTGTAATAAGTAATAATAATAATAATGGTATAGTATTTAATAGCAACTCATTGGCGTTAACCCAAAAATAGTGGTGTTTGTTGTGCACACCCAGGAAGCGATGCAAGAGATGGTCTCACAATTGTTCCCATAAATTATAATCACTTCAATATAACTGATTATGAATACAACCAACATCTGATGGTTAGGTGTCTGGCCCTTTATTATTTAAAGCGATTTTTCATGTTTTCAATTACTTTTCAAAAGTAATTTCATTGAATTTCAGATTCAAATCAAATTGCAATCACTTTATTTCACATCAAATGAAGACATGACTCTTCTTTCAAATCACTATTATTTTAAAAGCTTTTCTCGATTTTCAATAGAGTTTTAGGTTTTTATACGCTTTTTATTATTCAAACCATACTGTAGTCGTAAAGCATAGGAATTGAATATATTTTGTATTTAAATTATATTCACTGCATATTCAATAAAGTTTTAGTAAGATTTAGTTTTATTTGAATTTAATCTAAAAGTTATTTTATTTGATTTATCAAATGCAAAGCAATTCTATAAAATGGTTTATACTTAAAACACTGCAACTAATAATTAATTACATGTGCTTGTACACAATTATGAATTTGTATTTAACTGTAAAATATATTTACTGGTATTCAATAATTTAAACCAAGATCTAATTAAATAATTTTCCATATATTGCAAATAAAATAAAAAATTAAAATTAGACTTTAAGTACTGTATTCACTAATAAATTATTTCTTTTTCTTAGAAGTTTAGCCCAATTATTGTCCCAAATCTTGATTTGTCTTTTGATGTTATCGCACATAAATCTTTACATTGAATTAATATATTGATTTTATAATAAAATTACAACTCATTTGAATAAATCTATTGCAATAAATCTTATAAAAATTGAGTTCACATGTATTTTTGACAAGATTTATAAAATAAGAGAGTGGCTTAAAAACTGAACGCTTTCTTGATTTATGGTTTGAAACCTAACATAATTGGGTCTGACATTGGTTTTCATAGGAATTGCTAAAACACACTTACAAGTTAGGTTTACAGTGTAAACTTTACAGATGCCAATATTAATTTGGGAAAAGTTATTAAATGTACTAAAGGTTTTATCGAGTGAAATGTTTGTGATTTTATTAATGACCATTCACTGTAATTCACTTTCGTTATAATTAAATTATTTGATATAATTATTCATTAATATGTATGTCAGTATAGATAGGGAAGTGCCCATTGAATGGGTTGAGAGCACGTAAATCACTTCTTACAAAACAAAATCAATGCAATATTTCTTTATTCATAATTTCTTTAAAAATTAAATAATAGAGATTTTCTCACAGAATGTAAACTACTCTATAGTCTATTTCATTTCCTTTTACTTTTGTTATCAAGTATTGTAATTGACAACTATTTATAAAATTCAATTATTAAAGAAATAGTTTAGACGTGTAATATAATTGATGAGATCCCTAAAGCTATACAGCTAACAATAGACATTAATTAACAATATAAAATGAACAAATTTTGATCTACAATTTCACATCTGTTTAACAAATACTGTATCTTAACAAATAGATTTAACCGAAATTTGCAGATCTACTACAGTAGTAGTCATATAATATAAGACATAATTGTATGTGTGTTTGAAATCGAGTGAATTGCATAATAAATTCTTGTAGACATTTATGCATTTAAAAACCCTTTTGATTAAAAGAGCTGCACATATGTCAACATTAATGTCAAATTTTGTTAAATTTATGAATTGATTTAATTTTTTGTAAGAATTATTTTCTAGGAACAAAGAGAGAGAGAGAGAGAGAGAGAGAGAGAGAGAGAGACCATTTGCGTGCACTTTTCAAATTAAAAGACTGTATTCTTGTAATATTTATTGTCAGTACTAATAAGACTGAGTGCTTATGAGGCCTAATGTGGCCCTTTCACCGGCACAACCCTACAACCTCTTGCCGTCACCGGTCAGTACATTCACCTATACTTTGAGACCACAACACAGTCTATAATGAGAGAGAATCTAAGATACAGTTACAGTAATAAGTTATGAATGTTATAATACTTTAGAGTACTTGTAGTGCTAATAGCGAGAATAATTATTTTATACTTATCTTTTATTAAAAGTATTGTATTACTAATTAAAGTGAGAGTCAATGAACTGTCAAATTATTGTCCTTAATTAACATATAAAGAGATAAAGGACAGCACAGGTATTGCAATGATAATTGATCAAGACATTTTATATAAATAATTTCTATATTTAATATCAAAAGTATAAAGTTCTGTTTAAAGTTTACTTTAAATTTAATGATAATCTAGGTAACTTTAAATATGATAGTACAATGTTTTATTGAGATAAATCTAAATGGATTTCAGATCATAAAGGTTACTTAATATAATATTTGACATTATAAAGATATTCTTGTCATTCTTATCATGTATTTAGTTTTTGTCTCATACAATAGAATGTGCGGATAATATAGATTTTTATAAGGAATTATAACAAATATTATTTCGAGTTTCCAAGCAATAATTTATGTAATAAATTAATATTATGTTATGTTGAAAAAATTTAATTAATATGAATATAAACTAAGGGATATAATTTTATAATATTTATTTGCCTTTATTTTGTTTTGAATATTCATGTCTTCTGGATAAATATACCATAAAAAGTAAATACTTTTTATACAGGTTTCTAAACACTTTAATACAATTGCATCTATTGATCATTAAATGTTTGCATTTTATAGATAGAAAACTAATGTATTTTCACAATAAAAACGAAATTTTGCAAAGATAACGATTGTCAAAGTGTTATAAATAAATATTTCTAAAATTTAAATAAATTTCTAAGTTTACGTTAATAAACTAAATTATGTGCTAATATAATGGAAATATATTATTTAACAATTTGTGTGTTTATTTTAAATCATTGTTTTGGATATATTTATCAATCATCACATCAAATGTCATTTGTTTATGAAAACAAAAGTTTGTCTTTGGATGAGAAACAAGTTTTTAAAAGACATAACATTAATAATCACTTATTCTACAGATATTGTAAATATGAAGGCACTCAACGATTTCCTATAATTGTTTGCAAGAATATAAACAATCAATCGCTGCTCAAAAGAATATTCAAGAATATAATGGGAAAAGAATTTGCAAAATTATCACTTTATGACTCCACAGTCAAACATATTGGCTATGATTTTTTGCCAAAAAATACAAGTTTTAAGTTTATTTCTATTAAAATGTCAAGTTTACATTCAATAGATATCGATGTATTTAATGATTCATTTGAAACTATGGTTCGTTTAGAGATAATTCATTGCAATTTAGAAGAACTTCCATTTAATGAGAATTCAAAGTTATCTCAATTACAACATTTGGATCTTTATTATAATAGTTTGACTACAATTGGAGACTATGCGTTTGAACTGCTTTTACAACTCAAAACTATTGATCTCTCATTCAATAAGATATCATATGTAGGATCATATGCTTTCTATGATAATGACAAATTAGAATATTTGGGCCTTAAATATAATAAGCTAAAAGTTGTCAACAATCATGCATTTGCTTTAAAAAAGTTTAACTTTAAGCTGACTCTGGATTTGACGAACAATAATATGCATTATTTGTCTCAAGGAATCTTTTCCAATGAATCGCCACTTTTGCTCAACTTATCATCAAATAGTTTGACTAAATTTTCCGAAACTCATTTTTGGCCAATTTTAAGGACTATGGCCCTCAACAATAATGGACTCATTTCTGTTGCAAGTTAGTTCATCAGTATCATATCAATTAATACTTAAAACAATTTTTAAATGATTGCGCTCCTAATTTTGTTATTATATATAATAATAAAATATTATTTTCTATTTTTTATTTACAGATAATCGCTTTGATTGTATTTGCAATGAAATTGAATGGCTTTTAAAATTAAGCAAAGAATACAAACGAAGAATTAATGGGTTTTCGTGTTTTAATAAAAATCGTATATCACTTCAGGATATCAGTTGTCATTCATAACTAAAATTTAATTTTTATAATACAAATTCAAATTGAATTTTAGTAATCGAGTAAATATTCATTATAATAAATTAGGATAAATTATTCTTCAACTATAGTAACATTAACCAACTTTTATAATAGTCTATCACAGTCTAACAAATTACTGTAATTTAATAAATAAAAAATTATTAATTAAAAGTTATTTTATAATATTCTTAAATACAGTATTTTAATTTAAATTGTAACCTAATAACTTATATATTTAAATAAAATTATCAAATGTTTAATAATAATTATTTTAAATTAGCTGTAATATGAAATTATATTTCAATACTTAATATAACTAGAATTCACAAATAAAATGTGTCAATTACAATGTATATAGGAATATTCAGAAATATTAAATATTTTTTATAACACTTTTTATATCCGGCTAATAATGACAGTTGTGTAATCATTGATGAGAGCATATTTATTTTTTTGTATTAAAATGTATGTAAAGTTTAGTAACACAGAGGGATATAAATAGGAATTTTGCTGTTTTTCTAATATTTTTTATTTCCTTTAATTGTATTTAGTTATTAATACAAGAATACAGTAAATCATTATATAATGTATTCCTTTCATCAAAATAGAGGAAACTATTTATACTGTATTTTGACAATTTTCTTAACATGTATTCACTTAACATTTATGCGGTACTCATGACAGTTATCAATATTTATAATTTTCCATTACATTTCTATTTGAAAAGTTATATTTTATAGACTATTTAAAAAATACAACAAAATTAATAGTCAAAAAGCACAACTAGTCTAGATTTAGTTGAATTTCACTTGAATGCCGTGTACTGTAATATACGGACATAGAGTAACACAATGAGTGAATTGTTGTGGAAATTGAAAATGTTTTCAAAGAAATAACGTTTTGATTGGATGTGAGAAGTGATGGCATTTATGATGCAATCAAAGGGGAACTCATAATCGCCTTTAAGTCATATCTTATGAATTGATTGCATAAACAAAACAATTGTATTATATTTACATTTCATTTGAATTGACTGTCAATTGAAATGCTTTTTATAAAATCACAGTTCAAATGAATTTGTAATAAATAGATTTTATTTGAATATAATCTCAAAGTAATTGCAATGAAATGAGATAATAATGACAGTAATTGTATGAATGATACAAATAGTGAACAAATATAGCGATAATTGTATTCATGTTTGTGAGTATAGCGAGCATTGAAGTGGTGGACAGTTATATGAATTTATATAAATTGAGTCAATCGTTGGGTAATTATACTTATTATAAGCTCAACATCTCGTCCATCGAGAACTACGTGGACATCGATGTCCTCAAGTGGTTCATATGGCTCTTCACCCCCATTGTGGTCAGTGATCTCATTGTCATCACTCACACCATTGCCATCATTAGTGTGTCTCTCATTTCAGATAACATTTCTTTTGCCGGTTTTGATAATATTGTTGTTGTATTTGTCGGCATTAATAATCTTCATATACAGACACCGACAACAACTGGACCTGTCGGCCATCAAAGACGCCATCGAGAGGAAACACTACTGGGACGGAGCCCTTCACGCCGTGGCCGTCCTCTGGGAGGCGCACGGCTTCCTCTGGTATGGCTATGAAGTGATCGGTTTGGAGAACATCCCCGACGAGGGACCCGCTGTCTGTCATCAATACCCATTCACTCACTCACGTGTGCTAACAGTGCCTGTCTGTCCATACAGTTGTTGGTGTACTACCATGGTGCCATTCCCCTCGACTACTACTACTTAGCCGCCAAATGTCTGCTTACGAAGAAGCGACTCATCCGAGCGGTTGGCGACCACTTCCTCTTCAGGATTCCCGGTTTGCAGTCATCTCTATGTTGTCCTAATTGTAATCCATTTACCCATCGATTGATAGGTTGGAAACTAATGATGGAAGTGCTCCAAGTCTTCCCCGGCTCCCACAACACGTGTACAACTGTTCTCAAAGGAGGAGATTTACTCTCAATAGCACCGGGAGGTAAGCATTGATTCACATATTCATACGAATATCACAGTAATTTGCATTTCTATTGGCAGGAGTTCGCGAAGGTTTGGCTCTATTTGTTCATTGAATGAAAAGTGAATACAAATAAAATGTGTTTCCTTTGCACCAAAAGCCCAATTCGGTGACGAAAGGTATCGGTTAATGTGGGGCCAGAGGAAAGGGTTCGCCAGAGTGGCCATCGAGGCTCAGGTGCCTATCATTCCAGTGTTCACTCAAAACATTAGAGAAGCATTTCGTTCGCTATCTTTGGGCCAAACATTTTTCCGACGAATTTACGAGAGAATCAAACTTCCAATTGTTCCCATTTATGGCGGGTTTCCAGTCAAACTGACCACTATTGTCGGTAAACCCATTCAATTCGACCCCACGTTGTCTGTTGACGAAGTCGTCGATAAAGTATGACAAACAGACATATCATTTGTGAATTTAACCGTTAATTACCGGCGTTTATCAATTGTTTTTAGACTTCATTTGCAATCGAAGAACTGATACGAAAAAATCAAAGAATTCCCGGAAGTATACTGAAAGCAATGATCGACCGGTTCTATAGTTTTCCAAAAGAAAAGGAGGTTTAATTATCAATTGTTTTTAGACTTCATTTGCAATCGAAGAACTGATACGAAAAAATCAAAGAATTCCCGGAAGTATACTGAAAGCAATGATCGACCGGTTCTATAGTTTTCCAAAAGAAAAGGAGGTTTAGTATGATATGAAACAGTATATTGATAATTCTCACAAATTTATATAAACCAAGTTAAATTATGTTAACAAATGATTGTTCAAAAATTGATTTATTCTAATTTTTTATTTATTTTTACTGTATATGCAAAATAAATATACTTTTTCATCCATGTCGTCTAATTATCTGATATTCTTATTATTCTGTTATTTGTTTGAAATTAAGATTCTATGCAGTAATTCTTGCCGTAAACTGAATTTAACTCAAAGTTCTGTATGTCTTGAGGAATGTTCAAAATATTAGGGATACAATCGACTGTAATACTGCTCACAAGTCAATGCCACAATATATATTAAGTTAATCTATATTACTGAAATTTAAATAATTTACTTTTGTTTAGTTTTGAATAGTTTTTAATTCATTGAATCTCATAATCTGTTATAACTCCAGATTATGGCTCCATTTAGGACCGAAAGTACTCGAGTATCAAGATCTAATAAATACGATTAAATCATCACTAAGTCTAAAGAGTTATTTGATATCATATTTAATTTATTAAACATAAATTTTTATTAAATGACATCAAATATTTTATTCATGTTTTAACCGTAATTCAGATTCTAACAACTGAATCTTATGTATTATGTTAAGGTCAGTAGTGATCTCTACTAGGGTTTTCACTGACTAAAGAAGTGAAGACTCAATGAGTCAATCAATTAAATAATCATAAATTATAGTTAAGTAATACTTGAGTCGAGAGTTGTTTCTCCCATAAGGGGTCCGGAAATGACAACAAAGATAAAGTTGAGGGCATTAGTGATGGGAACGGCTATTGTGATGGGATTGTATGACAGACTAATTGTGTACAACACAGAACCGCTTTGGTTGACCAGAAATGACAACATATACTATCCATACAATCATACAATTCAGTCAAATAAAATCAATTAGAAATATAATAAATGCAAAACCATTGCAAGGGATGTATGCATGTATGGCATGTATGGCAAGAATACCTTCCAGTTTGTGAACATTGCCTTCAATTGTAGGATGAATTGTATGACAGGATTGGAGTGATGGACGTCTTCCATGTCTTGACTGTATCTTTTGAGAAGTGGTGTAGAGATACCCCAAACAGTACCCGTTATAACCAATAGTAGTATGGATTCTTCGTATGGTTTCAATGCAATTATCAATTATTATTTGTAATACAGTATAAAGTGAATGACAATTGAGTTCATACTCAGGTTTTCATTCCCCTCACAGCGAGCCGTAACGTAAAGAGCTACAAATGCCGAATATAGGGTATCAATAAATTTATATTAATTAAATAATCGTCCCCATTTATAACTTTTGAATGTTAGGAATGTCAACATAAATTTAATATTCACAAAATTGTATTAACGTAATATAAGGTATGAATACTTGAATGCATGTCATAGCTACAGATAGCACTACTTTCGTCTAAACTGAATACAGTATTCTTAAATTTATATGATTCAATAACCAAGGTGCATGCAACTTTTTGTTGTAAAATGTATTTTATTTTAAAATTTAAATACTATTCGTAGTTTATATCAATTTTTGTTAAGTAATTTTGTTATAATTTAATTGTAACTGGTTATAACTTAGATTAATGCGTTACAATTTTGTATACCTGTAATTGTTTGTATAAATCTTATCCTTATAAAGTATTTTTATAATGAATTTATGAATTACAAAGATGAATTTAATGCTAGAAAGTTTGTAAACTAATAACAATTTTTACTAGTAACTTAGTATAATTAATATTTGTTATTTATATTTATTTATATCAAATGATACAATTAATAATATTATTCTACTTTTAGTTAATTAAAAAATTAATTTACAAGTACAATTATATAATAATACAGTACTTTGTAAGACATTTTGTGTAAGTCTAATATAAAGTATACATAAAATGTTATCCATTTCTAAGTTTTTAATTCACCCAATTCTAAAGTAACGTTACTCTATTATATTTGCATTTATTGATTTTTAGATTTCCTTAAAGTGTTTGAGCCATTTAATGACATAATCAACTCATTAACTCATTATAAATTTAATTTAGAAAGGATTAAAAATAAATTCAATTTCCATGGATTCATTAGATTATTACATTTCTTTAAAAATGTTATATTTGTATATTATAAGCAAATCTATTTTGTTATTTATTTAGATTGGTTTAAATTAACATTTCTCTACAATTATTTTTAAATAAAATATTGAATCCAATCATTAATACATGTAAAACATATTACATGTACAGTATATGCGGAAATCTATAAATATTATAAAGTCTGACAACATTTTAAATTATAATACAGTATTGTAATTTAAATTTTACATTTTAAAATAGATTTAAATAAACTATAATTAAAAATAAAAATATTTTGATAGTAAAGCAAACAAGTTAGGTATTATACAAAAACAAAAGCATTTTTGGTTTTAAATAAATTAATTCTTTAAGAAGAAAAGGGATGTCTTATGAAATAAATGCATATTTAATAGTATTATGGGTGAAGAATATATAAGAAATTGTATAATAATATAATGTAATGAATAAAAATAGAGGGATGGGATGTGTTCTAAATTCATAAATTTAATCTCAAGAAGTAGGCGCTTATGGCAACTATCAGTTAATAGTGAATATGAGTCCAACTTATAAGGAGTGAAATGCCGTAAGGAATTCAATAGGGGTTGCAATGAGTGGGCGAATTGTTTTACAAATTTTCTTC